TGGTTTAAGCAGACAGATTCAGATTTGATTCTGCTGGTTCTGTCTCTCCGGCTTCTTTGTTGCCCATCTCCAGACTACCGATACGTCGTCGCCGTTGTGCCTGTTCGGGCATTCTCATATCTGTGTACTCACTGCCTTTGCTTAAATTCTCTGCATTTGGTAATTTCTTTCTTTTGCTACACTTTCGAAGCTCCGTCTGACGTGTCTGCCTCCGCGACCAGAAAGGAAAAGCGGCGATGGAAGATGATGAAGATGAAGAAGATGCTACACTTTCTTTTTAATCTTTCCGATCTGCGACGTTACTTTCTTTCACGCCACGGTAGCTCTCCCTGATCATGTTGATCGTTTTTGCATGCAGATGATTCAAACTGTTGTTTAACTCAGTGGAAGGTGCTTGAATAATCGAACTGAGATATACCATGATTGGTGAGGGCTGTTTGTTTTGGAGGCAACTTAGAAAGATTTCACTGAATTCAGCAGTTCAGAAATGCATTTAACAACAAATATGACTGGTGTTTTGAAGTGGCCTGCTTATTTAGCTGTTAGTTTCTGGCTATAACAGTGTTTGTTTTTAGTATGGCTAGTATTGATCTTGTACCTGTTCGTGTCGGCGAACGGCTTGTACGCCTGTATTTCGTGCCTTTTGCCGAAGCCGTCATGCTTCGAATTCAGGTATAATCGTTGCGATTCTAGCCTGAGCGCTCTGCTTCATTGTTGGACCTTTTCTAGTTTCACGTGCAGTTGTCTGGCACGCTGTCTGATGCGCAAAACCGGCAGGGACTATCAGTTCTTGAGGCAGCCAATTCGTTACAGCCGAGTGATTTTGTGGACATGTTGCATGGCGTTCTCAGCAGTTTGGTTTATTCTTCGTCACTGGAGGTATTCGTTGTCGCTTTTATTTGAAACATCGTTGTTTCTAAACATGTTGCTGATTTAGCTTCTCGTTCATATTCCAGGACATTCTATCCCTGGCGTTCGTCGTGACATCGATCAGATATCTGCGTTTGCCGTCGTTGAAAGTACGGTTTGTAATTTGACTAATCTTTAGAATGCTCTTTGTAAGCGTAACAGCTGGGTGAATGTCGTGGCGATACAGTAATGACCAGTCGCAGTATTGCATGCCACTACCAGCAGTGTTCTCCAGGGCTGCTGCGTGGGTGGTCGTGAATGCATGCCATGTGAAATTCGAAGCAGGCGACTAAAGCGCTAATGATAGCCAAGCGATGACGGATTTCTTTTGGGTTATAAGACAAACGTGTCTGTGAGAAAGATACTCTGACCTCAAACTTGCATAATAGGTTTTACACAACACAGTATGGATTTATTCACCAACGGGAGCATGCCGCTATATCATATCGTCGTCTACGACGAGAAAATAGCATAGTGTTTAAATTTATCTCATTTTGTGGCGATGAAATAAATATAATCTTGTTTCCCTTCTAGACGGTTCATCGAAATGGGGGGTTTCACCTCGTACTGATTGTTACACTCGATAATCATCTATCAGATGGGTGTAAGAGAAATACTGCCACTTGGGACGCTCTCGTCAGACAGCTTGGCTGTACATCTCGTCCACTCTGACATACCCGGGCCAGAGTACCACGCTGTTCCCATTTTTTGTAGGTCGACGTACTGCTTAACTACTCATTTTTCGGCTAGTTGCGTTTATGGCATAACGAATCGTTTTGCTCTATATGTGTAAATTAATCGATTGCCTTTAGTCCGTAATTTTTAAATCAGAGTGTATTTCTCATCTAATATCTACCTTATAGACTTATACGCAACAGCGGATGCTCCTAGACAGATTTGTCTTCCATTTGTTATTGTCACTTTGTTAAGCCTTCTTTTATGGGATTCTTGACTGTCGCTGCATCCGTAGAAAAC